CAGTTACACTTACAGAATTTCTTTCATGACAAGATCCTTTGTTATAACTTTTGCCAAAGAAAGCTTTTTAAAAAGACCTAATCTTTTTGATACAGGTTTAGGGTGTTTTCTGCTTAGCTACTTTCACCAGCAACACTTGAAGCCAAGAAAAAGTGAACTTTTATAACCATGGATATTTTACCATCTAGGATAGTCTTTCTCAGTTTCATTAAAGGATCCATTTGCACTCTTTAAATGGATATTCAAGAATCAATATTCAGTGTGGTTCTAATTATTCTAGTTTCCACAAGAAAGTGCTTTCAAAATATTCTTTACTGATATTCTCTTCTTCCTCCTCCCCTCCCCACCCAAGAAGGTTCAGAGTTGAGTTCTCCAATCTAAACTCAAGGCATGGACATCATGAGCTGTAGGAGCAATGTACAGATAAGGGAATAATTTTATTGTCCAGGCTGCACACACAAAAGTGTTTTAAAAAACAAGGATAAAGATTGCAAGGGTGATAATGCACACTTTTAAGTTGAAAACAGTATTAGTACAGTATTAGATAACTTACTTTGCTGCAACTGGTTTCTTCTCGTTTCATTTGGAGTTATCAGGATATATGGACCGACACTGAAATGAAAGACAAGACTATTATTTTGTCTGTCTATAGGAAAAGAGAACTAGAAGAAGCTTCCTTTGACGTAAAGGTCAGTTTTCTCCTGTTGTAGCCAACAAGCAAAAAATAAAAAATAAAAATGTAGCATTTATTTTGGATCAATTATTTAGATTTTTTAGTAAATATTTTAAAAAGAGCTCTTCAATTTGGAGTTAAACTATAAATATTAAGGGTAAAATTTTCAGAAACTCTTAGGACCGCCTTTACTTCTCTTCTTTAAGTCTCACTTTTGACTGCCCACCTCAAATCGCAGTAGTTTCAAATCCAATACCTTCCTGAGATCAAAGAACTCCATGCGGTAGACAACTATTCCCACAGATTGGCTGTAGGCGATTTATAGTTCAGCTCGCTCAAGCACAGAGGAAGAACAGTGTTTCTGGAAGAGCATGGGCGCTGCCAATCCCACCCCATGTTCAAGGGCACCACACACCTCAGAAGATTTAGGCAGCCTGCCCAAGAGCTGTCAAAGGACTACACAAAAATCACACTGGCTATCTGGAATTCGTGTGACCTGCTCCCAGCTTGAGCCTCAGTTTCCTTGTTAGCCTCATGTTTGCCAGGCGCTTGCAGTGCCTTGGCTGTATTTATTTTGCTGTCATGCCTGCAGCGCGATGCACTAAATCAGGGCAGAGGCCCCTGTTTTTGCTAGGCTTAATTCAAAACACAGTTGCTGGCTCAAAGAGCCATCAATCTAACGTGACAGCAAAGAAACGGGACAGAGTTCAGAGTGTTTTAGAGACTTGGGGTGATCAAAAGAGTGATGAAAACACATCAGTTCCACTTGGAGGAAACAAAGGTTTTTATCTGGCCAGTATATTGTGCGGGTACGAGCTTACACCGCCTGTGCTCCACAGCAGGGAAAGCTGAGCCACAGGGATGCAAGATTACTAGAAATGCACTTAGTGGTTGGCTCCGAGCATGAGAGTAAACTCTTGTCTCTGCAGTATTCGGCACGGCTTTAGCCGCACGTATGTGCACAGATATTTTATCCGGCTTCCTCACGGGGGAGACCGAAGGAGCAGCACAGAAAACAAGGAATAATGAGGGACGAAGCCCGAGCTTTTTAGAGGAAGAAAGGGCCACAGGGGGTGGCTAGAGGACAAGCCAGCAAGTAGAAAGAACACAGTTGGCTGTGGAAAAGTAATGAGGGAACGAGGCCCGAGACCACAGCTAAAAAAGGAGAGAAAAAACCATGCTAACAGATCAAAGTGCAAAAAGCTGCCTGCTGCTATATCGCTGTAATTCAGAAGTTGGAAAGGAAATATTTATATCCAATTACCTCCTCCTCTTTGAAGACTTACTCTAGGAGGATGTGGATTAATTTATAAGATTAAGCTAGTAAAGTTAGAGCTGCTAGCTTTAATGGTGCCAATTAATACAGTCCTTTCCCTTCCCACCAGTGAGATTAGACAACACTCCTCCGGCATTTGCTGCACAACAAGAGGAAGTTTTGGCAACTTATCTTACTTTTGTGATATATCATAAGCTTCTTGATCACCTTCCAGATTTTCCTTCATATGATTGAGAAGTATCATTTAACATCTATCCCAAATTCTCCTTGACTGAGCTGCTCTAGACTTATGTCATTTAGTCAGTGCTATGACTTAAGATTTTTTTGTTAGCCGTTTCAGGTATTAGTGCCTATTTTCTCTCAAGTTCATACACATAAATTATTACTTAGTATCTACTCCTTTCTTCTTTGGTGTATTAAAAGAAAATATCTGTAATTTTCAGTTGCACTTTAATTTTATTTTTCCTATAGCGAGCATGAGTGCATCTTCAAGACCCTACTGATTCATAGAATAAGAGAACAGAAGAGTTTTTGTATTCTCCATGTACTTAACTGACATCAGTTATTTTTTTGATTAGGATTCCAATTAAAGAGAAAGCAAGGACCTCTGCATGCGTATGTATGAGGCATCACATCAAACCTAGCCCTTATGCCACAAATAATTTCCTTCACCCACTTTTCCTTTTTGGCTGGAAGGCTCTGAGCCTACGAGGACAGATGGGCCACTCTTCTGACATCTGACCACGGTCATTACCCAGTAGTTCAGAAAGGCAGCACATGAAATACAGCAAAGATCAATCAGTTTGTGAAAGGGATGGAAGTAAGACCAGCAGTGACAGGGAATTGGCTTTGCTTCTAGGGAGAGCTCAGCCGCTCTTGTCTAATCAGCAGCTTCAGAGCCACTGTGGTTAAAAAAGGTGTTTCTTTACAGGTCAGTTTTGTTTTCCTTTTCCTTACTTAAACAAGGATTTCAAATCCTGTTTTCCCCCTTATTTCATTAATACGGAAACCAGAGTCCAGATTTCGATTATCTTCTACTTGGTGCTTATGCTACATGATTTTTTTTTAGCCAAAGTTCAAAACCAGAAGAGCATTATCATCTAGTTTCACAAGTGCATTCATAACATACACATCTAAAACCAAGAACTGCCCTTTCCACTTATCCCAAAAGAGAAGTCATGCAAACTTGACACCGTTAACCTTGGTCTCCCTGAAGTACTGAAATATGAGAACACAACTTTGGATATTGGGATCAAGGAAAAGAAGAGCAAAAACAAAACAAAAAAAGTATACAAAAAGCTCATCTGAGTTTTCAAGCAGAAAACATTACAGAAGTACAGTGGGAAGACAAATAACTATGTAGCCATATGCATACACACAGAAATATTTCAATCCCTCCCCAAAAAATCATCCTATCATAAAATATAAACAAGGATAGTTTGCCATTTGAATTATCAGTTACATAAAGAAGGTCATGTCTGCAGTTTCCAAGTCTGTGCCTTTCCAGTTGTGCCTGTGGGCAGCTCTATTCTTTCACCCAGCATTACTCAAGGACTAGCTTTCAATGCTTTCAAGGTAGAGACCACAGAAACCCTTGTTCTCCTCTCTTCTAGGTATGCATAAAATAGATGATCTGTAAAATTGAATAAACACACGAGAACTACAGTTCACAACTAATGCTTTTTGCAGAGCTGTGCCCTTCAGTTTTTCCTCAAGCCCACTCCGGCCAGGTACCATTGGGAAGGCTTCCAAATGAAGTGTGAAATAGTTTAAAGAGTTACAAAAGTAATAGGTGTTATAAACTATTTCCAGTTCCACTGTGCTTTATGCTGCCTTCCCCCCGCCACCTCCCTCTCTCCCATCAGCACAGGAATAGCACATAAAGCAGAAAGTTAAATAGTTTGCTCTCTGGGGCAATGGAATTTCTGTGTTCAGTCAGAAACAGAAATTGAAGAGAGCTCAGTGTAGAGTAACACAAATGAATAAAGCTCTGGAAAAAAGACCTGGGCAGCTCCAGTCGAATTCAGAAAGGACTCAGAGGAGACAGACTACCTATCTGTATGTGTACCATTTCTTTCTATAGAAAAGAAGTGGTTCATTGCTATTCAGAAATCAATGAAGAAAAAGGCTTAGGGGAAAAAGTACACACACATGTATGAGTATTTGCAAGCATATTTATTTTTTGTACCTGTGGGTATGTGTGTGCATGTTATTCCTCTTTATATATATATACACACACACACACACACACTTGGTATATGGCCTTAGCTTTCAAGGGGGAACATTTAGGTGAAATATTGTATTAAGAAATATGTTAAGATGTAAAATACTGTATTAAGTGATATGTTAAGACTGATAAACTTCAGAAGAAAAAAGGAAAGAAGAAATTGCCGCCTCCGAAGATATCCCAAGCTGAACTTTGCATCTGATTGCCAGAAGCTACTTGAGGCCAAACAAGTCAGTCTCACCACAAAATATTGTTTCACCAAGGCTCTTATGCCTGACAAGGCAGCCGCATGCTGTTAAGCACCATGGAGGCTGCCAGATCAGAGACCTACAACATGCCAAACCCAAGACAGCAAACAACAACTGTCCTGTAGGTATCCATATATCACAGTGTGCTATTGCCAGATGCTCTAGCAATACCCGACAGCCACAATTCCAGAGCTTGGTCTTGCAATATGATCCATGCCCAGGCAGTGCCATAAACAGAGCTCTGGGAAGATGAAAAAAATACCATATACAGGTTTGGGGCTCTCACTTTCCATCTTTATCAGTAGCAGCATCTTGCCGCTTTACAGCTCAGACACAAAAGTAAATTACTGGGGCTTAACATCACACACAGCCTGAGCCATCCTAGCTGCGTTTGTACTCTTAATATGAGAGGGAGAGAATAAACCGTGCCAGCTGAAAATGCCTATCACCGAAATTCTGCACTCATGGATTTTGTCCTGTGTTTGCCACAGGCTAAGAATGGACTTAATGACTACAGCTCAAGTGATATTGGGAAGCTTATTAAGCTAGGGTAACTCACTTGTATATCTCGGCTCTCTTTTTAGTTAAAGAGTCTATTTAAGTGACCAGCATTTTTGCCAGACTGGGGCCCGAAGGCAAAACAGAGTTAAATCCTAGAGTGAAGAGGAAGAGGAATTTCTGGAAAATGGCAGTAGCAGCAGAGAAAGGCCCAAGAAAAGGCAGGAGGCAGAAGCAAGCCCATTGTTCTGCTATGAGCACCCAAATCTCACAACTCTGGTACTCCCAAGCTTACAGAGCACCTCCTGAAGTTACAGTAAGATCTAAGGAATAACACTGAAATTCTGAAGTGAGTTTCCAAGAGGAAGGGGAAGGGATCAGTTTGGTTCGACTGAGCATGCGACAGCACGGTAGAAAAGAACAACAGGTTTGGTAAAACACACACCCAGCCAGGCTGCCCCTTGCAGCCCCATCCACATCCACACCTCATGAATCACTTGCCACCACTCCTGGAAAATTAGACAAGTCAAACTATACAAAAATTAGGACCTAAACTGGTGGCAGGTTCATCTGTGCTTCCCTCACTTTATTTCCCAACAACCTATCTTTTCCCCTTCAGCTATTCACTGTCCCTTTATCGCCCCTGCCCCACATAGTACTCCCCCTGCATGTGTCCTTTTGCTTTTATGGCCACAGCTCCTCATCAAAGTAAGCACAGAGGGGACATCTCTTGTGCAATCCAAGTTCTTCTGAGAAAGTCTTCTAATACAGGAATCAGAAGCACTTCCTTCCCGCTCTACTACCCAACACTACAGGGAACACAGAAGCCCCCATAACACAGACTAATGGAAATCTTACCGTATAAGACATATATAACTGTATATGCTGTGTAGTTATCTTCATACATTGATGCAGCCACTGAACACTTAGCTAGAGATAAAGGTGGCTACTGATCGCTTAGGACCCGGACGTCTTTGAATTGCCTCCCTGGGCTGTAAAGATTAGTACATCACCCTGAAAGGTAGAGAGAT